TGTCAAAAATGTACCATAATACCATCCGTATTATATACAGCGTATCTAGAAGTATATCTATGATTTGTTGCGCATTCACGATTCTTTTATAGTAATTACCAGTACTTTTTCCAAGTGCTTATTTTATTTACATGTAATTGTTCAAATATGTTCAAATATCACTTCTATTTCAAGGATAAAAAATCTTTATCCAATCGTGAGCTAATGAGATAATTACTGGAAAAATTTCACTGGCTTGGAGAGTGAAGACGAGATATCCGACGACGACGACAGTTTGATTGATCCTCCTTATGAAACTGCTTCAGATGACGATAATGAGGATCAAAAAGATCGTGGAACGATTTCAGAACCGCAAGACGAAAGATCAGTTACGTTTTCTCGGAAGTACAGACATGCATGGAAAGCTCCTGGATCTCGAAACTCCATACCAGTTCTTCATATATTTCGTTTCTGAAGAGTTGATAAATATTATTGTCTATCAAATTTATATTGTGTTCAAACACAGTCTTGGATGTCACTGCTTGTAACATAAAACAATAAATAGAAATCCTCCTATACCGGGTGTTTAAAAATTGTGTTCGAATATCTGGCCACTTATAGTTCTCATCAAGATAAACAAAAAAGTCTTAGCAAACCTAGATCCTAAAAGCAGTGGTTTGGAAGATATAAACAATTCCAGTGTTATTAGTGAATGAAGCGTCTTGGTCTTCCAATGTTTATTTAATTGAGGAAAATACAAACAGAACATAAAAACTGAACACAAAATGATTAAAGTAAATGCTTTACAGGACCTCCCTCCACTCGAAGACATGCTTGACATCTTCGTACAAAAGAATCGCTCACTTTTTCGAAGACTCCTGGAGATTGGCGAATAGTCTCACCTGCGTTTTGTATTCTTTGCTGGAGATCCTCCAAGTTATTAACAGGTGCTGAATACACTAATGATTTTAAGTAACCCCATGCAAAAAAGTCTAGAGGATTTAGATCAGGTGATCTAGGTGGGCAAACTATTGAACCTCCTCTTCCTACCCATGTACCATAAAATTCAGTATTAAGAAAATTACGAACAATGATCGCAAAATGTGCAGGCCCGCCATCATCTTCGAATAATATCGGCAAAATGTTTCGTAGAAAATCCAAATAAGTTTCACCATTTAAGCGATTAGAAAGAATCGTTGGTCCTATCAATCGGTCACCAAGTATACCAACCCAAACATTTACAGAAAACTTATACTGGCTTCTTGATTGCACAACAGCGTGAGGATTTTCATCCGCCCAAACGTGATTGTTATGAAAATTCAAAATTCCGTCTGTTGTAAAAGCAGCTTCGTCAGTGAATAAAACACTAGCATGAAATATCGGATTTTGTGGAAGCTTCTGCATCATCACTTCACAAAATGCTCTTCTCGAAACGTAATCAGGAGAGACAAGTTCTTGCACTCGTTGAACATGGTGAGCATACAACTGCAGCAGAGATCCTTCTTACACTCGTACTTGGATTTTCTTCAACACTTCTCAAAACATCCTGTTCTATTGTAGGAGTTCTTATTAGAGCGATGAATTGGAATTTCAGCCACAATGTCCTTGAAAAAGATTGAAAATATAAGACATTTTCTTCATTTCAATGATAATTGTAAATTCATTCCAAGAAATGAAGCGGGATTGTGCAGATTGTTCAAAATTAGACCTCTCATCGATTACCTGACCAGCAAATTCAATAAAATACCTCTTGAGGAATATCTCTCAATTGATGCGCAAATGTGCTCGACTAAAGTCAGACATTACATGAAGCAATATATGCCCATGAAACCCAATTTGAAACCCCATAAGTGGGGATTCATATTGTTTGTTTTGTCTGGAATAGATGGCTTTGCGTAATTTTGGCCAGGAAGTAGTAGTGGCCAGAAAAATGATGATACTACTCGCCCTCCAAAGAAGTCCGATCTGGGTGCTACATCAAATATTGTCATCCGGCTATCGCGTATTATACCAAAAAATGAAAGCTACAAATTATATCATGATAACTATTATACCGCCGTACCACTAATGATTCATTTAGCTAAGGTAGGCATTTATACACTTGCCGCAATTCGACGAAATAGGTTACCCAATTGAAGAGTGGAAGTAACAAACGAGTGCAAAAATTTACTTTTTAATATAACACCCTTGTCAGGACATAAAGAATGGTGTATAACATCTTTCTATGGATCTAACTAAAAATCCGAAATTTTGGCACTTATCACCTTTGTTACATCCAGTCTTCAATTGTAAACTTCCGACAGAAGCACAAATGAAGCATGAAGATGTGGTACCAGTTACGAATTCGTTGCCACGATAGATGGAATTGATGTGTCTTCCCTAGTATGGAAAAATAATAAATATGTAAATCTGATACCGGAACACATCCTGAAGCTATGATGAAGAGGTATGATCGAAAGCAAAAAAGAACTGTTAATGTGAAATGTCCATTCGTAATACAACAATACAATCGACATATGGGAGGTGTCGATCTCATGGATAGTTTGATGGATCGTTACAAGATCTTAGTTAGCGTACAAATGAGTACACCAACAAAAAGGAACTCAAGATGCTAAGATTGTTAAGCAAGCTAAATTCAGAACTGAAGTAGCCCATTGCGTTACGAAGGCAAACATATCTGTAACAACGAAAAGGGGTAGACCAAGTTCCAGCTCTGTTGAACAAGAACTACGGGCGAAGAAGAGAAAAGGCCCTACACAACATGTACCACCTCAAGATATAAGGCAAGATCAATTTGGACATTGGCCAATACATGTAAATAATAAAATGCGATGTAAGATTCCTAGTTGCAAAGGATTCACTCGTGTCCAATGTGAAAAATGTGGAATCAGACTTTGTTTGAATAAAACAAAGAACTGCTTCAAGAATTTCCATGTGAAATAATTTATACTACACAGTACCAGATTGCGCATTGTAGCTATTTGGCAACAGATGATAATTTTGCAATAAAACATATTTTTACAAAGATGAGATTTTTTCCTTATTTTTCCGTTTTTTTAGTAATGTTTGATAAATAAAAACTGTAAACAAAATATCGTGCATTTAAAGGTTAATGCACACAAATTCGGACAGGTATCCACACCGTTACGTTCAGTTTTTTATAGCCTCTATTTACAACGTTTATCAGTCTCTCGACTATGACCTTGGATCTTCATCTGCAGTGTAACTCGATGGGCACACTGAGTTAGTTATGGGGATTGCGAATCTGCTAACAGATACCTTGCCATAATCGGCAAAGTAATGTCGGGATGGGGCTAAACCCACATCAATCATTTCCTTTGTAATATATCAGGCGTTTTATACGCCTCTATCTCCGATCTCTCTTGAGGACTACACTTCTTCTATTTTTCTTCCTACCCTTGTGATGTTCGGATCATCGTTTTCTTTCAAGCTTTTTAACAACTTGGATTTTCTTTCTTCTCGTATTTCGCACAGTGGCTTCTTCTCTATAGCTTCCAGCATGTTCATGACGTAATTTGTTGCTGAACGCAGAATCCTATTTCTAAACGATTCCAATTTCTTCACATTCTTATGGGTTTTCAAAATTTCTACTCCATATGTCAACTGCGGCGTTATTATGGCTTCTATTATCCTTACCTTTGTTGTTGTTAGAAGCGGCGACTGTCCTCTTATCACGAAGTATAGCTCAGTTGCCGTTCTTTTCACAATGCTTAGCCTCTTGTCTGGTTGCTTTCCCGCGTTCAGTTTCCCGATAAACGTTTCTTCATCTCAATACGCTTCGGCATATCTAGGAAGGTTTTCTCGAGCTCTTCTTGTTAAAGCCTAGTATTTCCATTTCAATCCTTCATTGTTTGCAGTACCAGTACCAGTTCAGTGTATAAAGTGCCTCTTCACTTCTGTCTTGGTTTCCATAGGAGAGGGGATAGCGGCGATCCTTGCAGTAACCCTTCTTTCATTCTTCTTCCGCAGGACACTTTATCTTCCATTTTCGCCTGAAAGTATCAATTTTTCAGAAAAGAAGCCCTCAATTTGACTAGGTTCCCTTTTAGGTTGGCCTGGATCATTTTTGCCGGCAGGCCATCTTGCCAGACGGAATCCTTAGCCTTCTTAACATCTAACAGCACCGCTATCGCCTGATGTTTTTTCTTTTGTTCAAGTTTCACCGTGCTGATGAAATTCGCTGCCTGCTGCACAGCTCTTCTACATTTCTTGAATTTGAATAAATTTTTCGGGAGTAGTCCTTTATTTTCTATGTCTTCTTCTCTTGTCTTCACTTGATTAATAACCCGAGTTGTATTCTATCTATGAGCGCTCACATTTATATTTAAATATACTGATGTATTAAATAGATAATATTATTAAGAAGTTCGTTCTAACGAAGTCCGTTATATCGAGGTCTTACTGTACTTTAATTTAATGAATGAATTATTAATAGTACAAAAAAAAGATTGTTTCGAAACGATACTGCGAATGCTTTCAACGTAATATTCGAACAAAAACGCGTCAAATGCGTCAGTGGAGTAAAGTGGGGGCGGCTTGGCGTCCATTTCTAATGGCGGCCTCGGCGGCGCCATCGTGTTTCGGCCGCGAAAACAAAAGAAAACCTTCGGTTTTCGCTAATGGAGTGAAGCGTCGATTTGCACTAATGTATCTAGTAGGCAGCTTTCCGCCGCCAGCTCTCATTGTTTATGCATATGAGGAGTGGCAGCACACTCCGATCTGAAACCGGGAAAAGGGCGGCTAATACTCCATTCCCGGATCTGCATATGTTTTCCATTTCTCATCTGTGGACCGTTATGAAAAATCCGCTTTTGGCGAAATAATAGGGTTTGGTCGGACCTGTATATGAAGGACTTTTTCTTCTTAACCTCTGATGATGCATAAATGTATGTAATAGAAAGGGAGGTGTGTTGTATGTTGTTGCACTCTCCAATCTCTAATGGGTAATATTTCGTTTCCAATCTCATATCGAATATCGTATAGAAAATAATAAACATAGATGTTTTTGAAAAGATTGTTTGATTTATTCATAATACTTAGCATTTTTGACAAGCACCAGAAAAATAAAATACAATAAAATACGTTACTTTTTTTGATTTACCGGTCGTACTTTTCCACATGAATTCCACTTTTTAAAAAAATCAAGATATCCTTCTATAGCTGGATACCAATCTATTCCAGAATAAAATATCGCTGGTAGATCTCCTCCATAATCAGATGGTAAGTAACTTGGTGGTATAAATTTATGAAGAGAAGACATTTTACTTTCATGAAAAAACAACTTTAACAAAAAAAATTTCATTTTAAGACTATTAAATGGCTAAATTACCGTGTAGTGCTATAAATTATTCACTTTGCGTGTGATTATCCAAAAAGTAGAACAAAAATCGACCAAATTATACGGTGTGAGTTAGTAAGTACGGGAAATCTTTGAACTGGAAATACTAGAAAACGAAGTATGGCGATTGAAGCACGATAATTACATAAATTTAGGTAATACAACTCTTAATAATCCTAAATCTTAATTCGAGCGGCATGGCTCAATTAACAAATAGCACATAATTTTATTTTACTAAAATAATTTGTTTTTCAACACTAAATAATTTTTTTTTCTTGCAGGTACAATCATTTCTTCTACAAATCAAGAAAAAATCTTTATCACGTGGTAAGAAAGAATATTTTCATACTCAATGCTTAAGTGATGATATGGTTTTCTATTGCCATTACCCATTTTTGTACAATTATTGCCAAATCCTTAGCGACTCGAGCTTTCAAGTTTTGTCTCGCACAACAAGATGTGGACAAAAATTGATATTTAACCTGATCTCATATCAAATCTTTAAAAATTAACCTAATTAAAATCACAATGCCTGAGGTATAGCAAAGCTATAGGTATTAGCTCTTAAACCAGATGGGTATCAAATCAAAGAGCTTCTGACGGATTCGCAAATTGATTTCTTGAGAATATATGTACATTCCATCTTCAGTTTGGGGATAAGATGTAATTTAACGTAGAGCACATAAAGCGGCACAACAAAAACCTTATGGAGGTCTTTGTGTTATATAATAGTTTGATGTAATTAGCATAACTCTAAGAATCTATCAATGACTTCCTTCCCAACAGTCTACAAGAAACAACATCAGTGACATGTTTACTTTAGAAGAAACTCTATTCAATGCTTAACATAGTCCTAAAATATAAAAGGAGAATTATAGGTGTTGAAAATACAGAGACAAATGTCAAGCATCAAATTAATCAATTCCAAATCTATATCAACCTATATTAAGATGAGGTTACTAATTCTTAGCAAATATTTTACTTTGGTAACATCTTTCGACGTAACAAAGATACCACCATGAATATGTTTCATTCTACCTAAACATGATCATAAGATGATAGTTGATCACACCAGATGTCAACAATTCCACAATTCACTAAATTCTTGAACTATTGTTGGCAACTGAGACCTTTTGGACCTTTCTCTGCTCGGTTACAGGTTTGTATGTTATTGTATATCGAATAAAAAAGTTTTTTGCAAACCTACTTATGCCTTTTTGCATTGTGTAGTGTTGCTTCTAGATATTTGACTTCTTTCTTATAGAAGCACGTAGATCGAAGGCATTTGAATGAAATTTGTGGCAAAACCTAAATTAACAGTTAGATAGTATAGAAGATCCAATACTTATTCACTAAACCACTAACGGGCCTAATAAAGACTATAAAGTGCTACTTAAAAGATGTCCCTTTGAATGACTTGATCTCCATAGAACCAAATAAAATTAGAGATGTTTCAGTAATATTTCAACAATAAAAAATCTTTACTTACTGACATAAAAGAAAATTATCGTGGAAATTTCGTAGGGTGTTATTGAAGAAATACCAGTGATAAGAATTAGAAGTAAAAATCAGAAGATACTTCAGCAATTATTATTTGCCAAATCAGCTGTCTTTGACTGCCAAACCATACAACTTACTCATGTAAAATAATAATAGAATACACAACAATAATAGATTTTTCATTCGTTATTGATGTGTTCAGCCGTTGGGGTAAAACATTTCTAGTAGCAGCAGTACCATAAGAACGCCATCCAAGAAACCGAGGTATTTCCGCAAAATTGCTGAGCACGAACAATATTATCTGACAACAGGCCTCAATACATGCATCAATTGAAACTTAGTACGACGTTAGTAGGAGTATCTAAACAAGGTTACTCCATATGATATCATTTAAATCGCAATGGATTTAAATACAAATCTGAAATTCAACAACATATAATTGAGAAATGGTCCGAACACTCTTTAATATCCATTTTGCTGCTGGGCTGTGAACGGCCACATCCCGGGGAAGGCTTCACAAAAATCAACGGGCCTAGCCAGATTACTCAGACTACAGCTTAAATAAATCTATCGTGTGTGCAACACTATGGCGGGGTTATCATCACCTGGGTGATTACACCACCACTTTTCAACCTTGTTCTACAAAATAACATATATAGTGATCGAAGACCAACAACATTCTGGATTAACAGAACTATTCCAGTAAACTGGAAAGTTGGAAGAACCTTCCAATCTCGTAAGGAGTATACTAAAATATTCAAAATGTTACAATTTTTCCTGAATGTTTTTTATGGAACATTGCAAAAAAGTTAACTGACAACCTTTACAATGATACGAAATTCATCAAAATAGAATAACATTGGGCCTTTGGTTCTGCTAAATTTCAATAAAAGTTGACTCTATTTATGACAAGTAGCGAAGAAAACGATATTGTTCTCGGTGACTGACACAAAAGTTACAAAGTGGGGACTATAAAGAGACATTCGTAGATACAAGTTGCAATTCAAAATAAGTTTCAGCATACGCCGATCACCAATAATGAAAATAATTAGTATGTAATAAAATGTTGCAAAACTGAACGAAGTAGATTTCTTATGAGACACTAGCGACACTAGCAAGAACCATGGATGTTATGAAGAGTATATGACCCTTCTATTTTAGAAATCTGGAAACCCGAAAATATGAAAATACTAATGGAAGGTCGAGGGTACTGTCCGAAAATTAAAAATATAAGATAAGTAGTCAGAAACTGCTATCTATAAAATCAAGAAAAATCGAGAAGCTCGCTATAAAGAAGCTTTAGTATGCCACAACGCAGACACCATTTCTTTGCTAATTCACCCTAGTAAACACATCTTTAAAAACAAATCTAGGACGATTTTGTTGTAATTCACTAATTTTTGTGAAATCCTCTTTATTTATTATCTTCAATTATATTTTTTTCTGAATTATTTATAAACTTTCTCGCAGACTGGTATATATCATATTAAAAAGCAGGATTTTATCACTAATTTTATAAAATAATCATGTCGCTATGTCCAAAAATAAAACTTGCACAATTTTGAAATTTGACGGTTTTTATAACATTTTTCACCAAAATTATCCTTATTTGAGGATGATTTTTCAACTTTTTTCCACATACAATTTGTGGAAATAAACATGTATTTATCCAAAAACAAAACAAGAATAACAAATTTGTGCTCGACTATGCTATCAAAATGAATACCTCAATTTCTCTCGTCACAACTCAAGTTTGTCTGTAACTGTTCTCTATAATTTTCTTACACCGTCTTTGGATGATGTAAAACACTATGATTTGTCATCTTACTACCCCAAATCTGAGTCCGATTCTCCAAATATATAACTTCCACTTGTTTCTGTCGATACGGCTGTATTTACAAGCTTATCATTAAGTTTTTGAAATTACCTACACCTTCCATTCTATTATTTTTTCGGAACCACTTAGAGCTTATGACATCATTATGTTATTATGATGATTATTTTAGCATTATCATTTTTATTTATTATTTTAATACAGATATAAATTAACTAACCATTCCAATTTCTTGTATATTTACGTGATATTTAAAGCAACAACATTAAGAATTGACCCATCAGCGGATGATGCAAGATCAAATTTAAAAAGAAAAGCTAACAATAAGTATAAACAGCGTTAAAGCTTCCCGGTAAAGTTCCACTTTCGGTAACGCAATTCGTTTAAAATTTTATATCTCAATATCTATATTGTATCTAATTTAACGTGCCACATTGTAGGAAAGAACTGGGTATGTGTTCAAATAAAGTGGCACTTCCGGGTTTGATTGAAATTTTATATTTGAATGTTTTTCGAAAAATGTTCGATATGAGTTCAGGTTTAGTGTCACTTCCATTTGATGGATTTAGCTTAAAAGACTAAAAATAGACAAAATGACTTCAAAAGCCCTCAAAATGTACAAATCCATCAAAATCTCGATATCATATTTTTGCACGATCACAATATTTTCTGTTATATACTTAGTGGTGAAAGGAATCTGTTATTAACGAATACAAATTTCCAGTTATTAAAAAAATTCTATTTGATCATCCTTTATAGAAATATTGATGTATTATTTCTTAGTTCTTATTTCTCCGATCATTTCTAACTCACACTATATAAAAAACATTTTTACTTACCCTTTTACACAACTTCTTATTCAACAATGGTTTAATCATCATCCACGCAGTTTCAAATATTTTCGGATTATTAATAAAATGCATTTCTTTTAATCTTAAAACTGACGCATCTTGCATGAATGATAAAAGTTTCATTGCGTAAGGTAGAGTAAAATTGGTGAGTTGTTTCATTCCGAAATTTTTATAATCCATAATAACAACAAGTCCGCGTACTTGAGTTTCCGGTTCTTGTACTGCAGCCAAATGTAGTAAGTATAAGATACGTAAAATCTGATCTGAGGAGACTTTTGAGGGGTTCCAGGTACCCGCGTTAATGATAAGAACACGTCGACCCTTATGATCTCTATTAACGAGAATATTTACGATGTTATTGTTGATGAAGTTTAATTTTTCATGTTCAGGAAGTAAGCCATCAAATAAATCTTTGTATTTTTCACGAAAATTTGCTACTCTTTTCATCTAAAAAAAAAGTATCTAGAAAATGTTGTTACAAAAAAATTATATCTACTAAATCATAAGCACTTGATGCATAGAATTTGGTTGGACGAAGAAAGATTTTAAGAAATTCATCATCGGTATCATAACGTATTGTTTTGTCACGTTCCAGAAAAGCTCGAAGTTCTTTAAGACCTTTTGCAACATTTTCTGGAGTTTCACGTAATTCTTCGTATGCTATTAGTTTACCTTCTTCGGAAAGAGGATTATCTTCTATTGCAAAATTTCGTTCGATAGGAATCTTGAAAATTTAAGTTAACGAGAGTTGAATGAAAATTTACGGACATACTTCAGAATAAAATGTTGATTGTTTCTTTGATGGTTCACCATGTTTCGTAATCTTATTTTTGTTTTCATTTTTCCTGTGATGGCGTACTGATGTAATTTTGGCGATTTACCGAATATTCAAAATAAAGATGGGTACAAAACTCGGTATTTTTTTCTGTCACAAATGCACAACAGTTCTTTTTTGAATTAAATCGCTGATGACAGTGTCAAAATCCTTGTGACTTTTCTCAGATTATACGATTCAAATTTATTTTTTGGAGTTGATATTTTTTGTTTTTTATGTATATAAAATCGATAAATAACATTGGACGGTTCTTTTAATCCGTGCGTTAAACATATAATAAATTTTTTGTTCGCGTTTTTGGGGATGAAGGGGGGATGGTGGGTAGCGATAGTTGTCGGGCAATTTGTCCGGAAGGCTTATACCCTCCCCGGTGCAATAAATAAATAACGCTATTAATTAGGGACGGCTCCCGTCGGGGATTACCAGGCCCGGAATTAAATTTGTTTATTTAGTTAGTTTTTCGGACGCGTGTCGGTGACGTTGCAATCGGTGGACCCCTTCCCCCCTAAAAAAAGTGGCCGCGCCGCGCTAATTCGTGTTTATGACGCGATAAAATTGATGGCCGTTTTGTCGTTTTTCGCGGTCCCTAAAACGGCCAACATTTCCCCCGGGGTTTCAAAGGTCATTCGTTGACTCTTTTAATTCATTTTACCAAACGAATTTCCCAAGTTTAAATTGTCTCATTTTAAATATCTTTAGCGAAGAGATCGTTGTTAATAGATATGGGGTAGTCATCAACGTAATGGGTCGCAAATTGCTCGAGTCCATTTCGTCCCTGAAACAACCTCCGTTATTGCGAGAATGTGGCAGGGGCGTTTGGTGGCGCGCGTTTGGGTTTTTGGGGACAAACGGCGTAGTAGAAGCCTTTTGCAAAAGCGCATTCGCGAACCTAATAACTTTTAAAAGCCATCTACTTAACGCATCCCCGATGTCATCCCGGGCGCCCTTTATGTTTGCTAATGCACGTGGTAACGCACCCCGAAATAATGGATGGATGGAGAGCTGCGACGCGGTTCTGTACTAAAAGCGCTTTAGACCAATTATGACGGACAGTCGATTCGGAGAGTGATTCCGAAAAGCACGAAGCAAAAGAGAAAATTTTCATTGACATACAAAATATGATCGCAGACTATTGTCCAACAAAAGCAATGAAAATCTTCAACGTATTAAAAATATAAAACTGTATCAATCAAAGATATTGTCAAGAACAAACCATCCCAATTAATCTTGATCGGCTAATCTTAAACGATGAAAGTGTGTCTTCGTTGTATTGATGACTCAGGTTTCCTAAATAGTGTTGCTGCATTTGCTAGTGTCATACAAAGTACAAAATAATTGTCATTGCACTATAGTAAGGCTTCATCAAGATGAATATATGAATAAACAAAGTTTTGACAGCAATAATTGACACATATGTAAAAATGCACTTTGTGGTTAGGCTAAAACTAGAGTACTGCATAAATTATTGTAGATTATAGTAGATTTATATATATTATAGTAGATTTCAAGATCTAAGAAAATGATTACAAGTCATTCAAAAAGTCAAGTTTCAAGAGGTCCACTTATACCACCTCTTGATAAATTTAACCGATAGATAAATTCAACTCTTAAGGTGGGTTCATGCAACGTGTTTTAGTCGTAGTTGTTGGCATAGTCGTAAGAGTGAAAAGTTAAGGTATTGTGTTATAGTAGTACTGTTCATACAACAGCTTACGACTAAAATGATTTTTGTCCTAGTCCCAAGAGTTGCCCAACTTTTAACATCTTAAAGCTAAAACAATCGGTCGTAACGTGACGCATGCGCACTTTTCTCTTTTGTGTCCTTATAATATAGCAGTGTTTTATTTTATAAATTGAGGTTAGGTCAGTTAGGTTTTGTATTTTATTGTATTAAGGTTGTTGTGCGTTATTGTTTCGACAATTATTTCATTGGAGTCAAATGCGCACCAAATTGACTTAAAATTAATAGAGTTGATACAAGGGTATCAATATCTTTATGATCCACAACATAAAGACCATAAAAATAAATTAATGTCCGAAAACGCTTTTGTGGAAATTGGAAGTAAGTTAGGAATGAATGGTAGGTATATTTATTAATAGCAGATTCCTTAGACAATCTGGCAGAATGCATCAAAATATCAATGCAGAAAATTACAAATTGTATTAGTGAAGAAGAAGACGCAAATGCTTCTTTTTTTAAATTTATCAATAAACTTGTGAATGAAAAGCCCTCAGAGGTTCAGCAGCGATTCAGAGCCGAAATATTACAGCTTGTACAAAGCACTTAAATTAATTTTATCATTTAAAAATTTGCTTTTGTTTTTTTAGTTGTTCATCCAGTCTTTAAAGATGTGCTGTCATGCTTTCTTTCACTAGCTCCAATATCTGCTACAATGAAATTATAATCCGCATCTACACATGCCATTAATGCATGTGCAGGTGCTTGTATATGGATGTGTTTCCCATCAACAGCCCCGATACAGTTGGGTATGTTCCATCTTTTGTAGAAAGTATCTTCAACAGAGGCTAATACGTCTCTTGTTAGCTCTGGTAACACTTTGGGCTGTAGTACGTTCCACAGAATAGCTGTCGTCTCTTTAATTATATAATGTACAGTGGATTTTCCCATTCGAAAATTCCAAGCTAGCTCTTGCATAGAACTTTCTTCTGATAAATAACTACAATAATTTTATTACATAACTTAAAAGTTTTTATAATATAAAATTAAACAAAAACTTACTGTAGGGTTACTATCAACCTTTGAGCTGGTGAAATTGCACCTTTATTTGGTGTTTTTGCTGACTCTTAAGAATTCTTTAAACTCTTCGAACGACATGCGAATATATTTAAAAAATTGCAAGTCGTCTTCCTCTTTTTCCAACATGTTTCTAATCAGAGTGGCATAATTTACCTCTAATTCTCTATTTTTATTGATTGGTCTTTTACAAAAACGCCGTCGTCTTTTATTTCTTAATCTTTGTGCGATTAATAGAGCTGCATTCAAGCACATTACACTAGCAGCGACAACAATTTTCTTTTTAATCATAATAAACAAAACAGTTTCACTCCCGATTTCTTTGTTTTTTAATTTGGCACGACTGGTTATATATCAAAATATTCCTTTAATTTGCTGTGCTTAAATATTGCATGAACCAACAAAAGCTTCCTTACAACTACAGCTAAAGCAAACGCTTATAACTATGACTATGACTAAAACTAAAACACTTTGCATGAACCCACCTTTAGCCAATAAGAACGCTTAAAACCGCTGTAGCCATGGTAACTATCCCCTAAATAGTTTAACAAGAGGTTGGTAAAAGTGGGCCAAAATGATTTATCTGTATCAGTGGACGTAAACAATGAGAATTTTCAATACACAAAAACATCGCAGAATTGTTATTACTTTAGATCTTAAAAGAGTGTAAAGGAAAAAGTTCTTTTCATCTCCAGACTCATCGAGAAGAACTTGTTGGTGCCAGGAACAAGCAATCATTATTTATTTAATTTATCAAACAAGGAAATTCTTTAACGCCTTGATAGGCGCTATGTGCAAAAGCACATAGTCGTTTGGCGTACTTTGCACACCAATTTAATTTTTGAAGAAAAACGATTCCTATTCAAAATATATTTTACTTTTGAAGAAGACATTTTCTTAACTAAAGTACTTAATTCCATGGGCAGCTCGAAATAGGTAAGACGAAGTACACCTTCTTCGTAATCGCACTGTATCGTAGTCGTTCTATTCTTCTTTTTTCCCACAAAACACAACACCCTCTTGGTTCACGTTCTCAATACGTTCTCTTGATTCTTGATCGACTTCTTCCAAATTACGTTTATATCAAGATAAAAATTGTTTCACATCCAAAGGTAAATTTCAAATTACTGCTGTCATCCTTTTATGATAATACTTGCCAACTGAAGATCTGTACCATTTATTATATTTGCATTAATCCCCCAATATTTAACAGTTGGAAGAAAATTACTAATGGATCTCTTTTCGTTTTTCTGTGGACACAATAATGTACACACATTTGATCAATTGTAGCTACGTCACCTTTCTTCGCAAAACAGCTTTACCTATTTTTTGGGCAATAATATACGAGAGTAATTGAGTCTACTCTGGTTTGGATTTACCTTTACAGGCATTTCCTTTCTATTCTTTCGTGTTGTTCCAACAAGTGTAATTATATTTTGAAGTAATTCATTTGCTAAAGGATATCTTGTGTACCAGTTATCTGCTGTCAAGTTTCGATTTATTCCGTTGAAGAGCGAAACCAATCTGTCTACAATACCCACAAGTTTATTAGAGAGTGAATAAAAGCCCTCTGATTGTTTGCAGTGTAGAACATTTTTAAATCATAAAAGACGAATATTTTGAGAACGAACCTTGCAAGGTTGTTAGACTATCTTAAAAAACAAGCAAGGAAAAATAAATTTCTGCCCATAACTGAACACTCATCACTACTGAAAACAGTATATCTGATGAACTACTATCAGTATGCAAAGTAAGTTAAATTGAAATGGTTAATATAGAACAAAGTTGAAAATTTTGATCTGGAGATACTAGATGTATAGCTGATTTAGAAGGTACAGCATGCTCAAAATCGCTTATTTAATATATTTACTTATTGCACATTCGGGATGCAAACAGAAACGTCACTACTTTCAGCATTTCTTATCCTAATAGTCTCAAGTTTCGTGAGCAAAACAGTAACTTGCACCAACAAGCACCTGCGTTTTATCTGATTTATATGATGAACTATCAGTATTGCAAAGTGAGTCAAGTTGAAATGGGTTGATATAAAGCGAAGTTGAAAATCTTGATTTGGAGATATTAGATAGTGTAGCTGGTTTAGGAAATACAGAATGCTTAAAATTGAATTTTTTAT